CCCCCCTCCCCCATCATGTCCCTCGTCAATATTACAAGATATAACATAACATTTCGTTTTTTCCAAGTGTTTGGCAATGTATATATAGAGTAAAATCTTGGTTCCTCGAATAGTGTTAATTATTTAACGTGCTCACTTGACTACTAGAACGCTCATTGCCAGCGAAGCACTCACTCCGGTTTCTTTAGCATGGACGCGACTGCTGGGTGTTAAAACCTCCCGCTATCCTTCCCCAGCCTGTCTTAGATGAGATGGCAAGGAGGACAACTTCGTTCCCAGGTCTCAGGAGTGAGACGTCTTGACCTAGGCTGTACACGCCACGAACAGGGGCAAATGTGGCCGATAAAGGGTGAAAATAACTCTGCAGACGTTCAACTCCGCCCACGATAACGAAAACCTGACGTATGTTGGGGTTTTCCGATCCGGCCCGGCTCGCCTCAAGATCTCAATGGGACGATTTAGTGTCTAATATATCAGCAATGTTTGGAAATGTACACCTAATCAGTGTCAGTAAAAGAATTCAGAATCAAAAAGAATGAGTGGGTAAGAGTTTGATCATAAATGCGCAAAAATTTAAAGAACTGAGCGGAAGAAAATTTTATTATTTTCGTCCATTCCAACCAGTCCTTCAATAAATTTCAATTATTTTTTCTACATGTTAATCACTTGATTCAGTATTTCTTGAAGCATGGGGTACTTACCATTTAGCAAAAAAATGCGGAAATTTCGGTAGAAAATCAAATGAAACAGTAATTTTCCGGAAAACTACCTCCAGAGGTAATCCTCTTTTTCCGTTCGGGACGGGACGGAACGGAACGGCGGAAATTTCCTTACCATTTCTGAATTCCCCAGTTTCCAGTCTTTCCCAATTGCAACCTGTTCGGTTGGTTTGCTGACCTTACCATAATTCAACAGTCATCCCAACTGGTTTATTCCGAAAAATGGTGAGAACCCATGATATCTGATAAGGGCGGAAAAATGCCGATAATACTTTATTGGAAAAACGGCACAAAATAATCCGTGTCGAAATTGCTTTAGAATGGGAACATTTCTGTAAAACTGTTATTAATTTTCGGCGAAAGTAATCTATTTTACTTTTGCTGTTTGGTCCATGCCTTGAGAGTTTTTCTTCAAGTTCTGATTTGGTTTAATTAACGAAAAATTCCAGATGCTGGTAACGTATGAAGTGTGTGAAGATCAATCCACGTCAAGGAGGAAAAGACGCGTGGGCGTCCGCGCATGAACATGCTAGTTACGAGCGCGCGCGTCTTTGCGTGGGCAAGAAATATAAAAATAAGAATACGTGTATTATGAAAATACCGCTTCAACTTGTGAGGTATGGTTTTATTTATTTATTGATTGATTCATTTATTTTTTGCCGTAAAAAGGAAAAATTGTGGTGTTCAATCAAGGAGAAATATTGTTCATGGGTGAGTAAATAAAAGAATTCCTTGAATGTATGCGAACGTCAATTATTTGGTGAATGCGTGGGTGTCAAGAAACATAAACGAATTATTTTGTTCCAGGTTATCGAGTTTTCTTTTCTTTCTAATTCTCGAGAAAAAAAAATATCTGAAAGTGAGGGAAAAAATCCAAACGAAGTTATAACCAAAAATATTTATGTAGTTTGATTTTATCTTGTCATAACCATAGGATGACGTGTTGTCTACTTACTGTTTTAAAACACCAAGTTGAGCGTAATTTTCGAATGTGAATTGCCCGAGATAATTTGTACGAGAAACAAAATCACGCTTAAAATCAAGTTTGAAAGAACAAGAATTGGCATCGAACATGTACGAAGACAACAAAAAGAAGCAATTTTTATTCATTTTTCCGCGTCGTTGCGTCAAATGTACAGATGGTCGACCTGCAAACGAGATTTACTGCGTTCTGATTGGTCGTATGAACAATACATGATCGACAACTTCCGACAACAAATAAACATCCGGGGACTTAATCGTACTTCTGTTGTTGATGGCCGAGTGGGAGAAGATGGCGAAGCGTTACATAGATCATAGCGTTGTCTACCTTTGAAACTTTTTTCTCCTTATCGAAATCCATGGCAAGCCCATGGATTCTAAAAATCTGAAGTACATACTTCTCTTGTTCTGTTTTTTTCTTGACTATGGACATCTTAGGGAATCGCCGGCGGTCGGTAAGTTTTCCCTTCATGATCAGGTGCTCGCCTCGGTGTGATTGATCAGAGATTCGAGAACGCTCTTCAAAGCGTGAGAAATCGACTCATTTTTCTTCCCCTTGCTTCCTTTAGCCTGTTCATCTGGGGCTGACTGTGGAATTGGCGAATACTGCAATCGATGTAAGTAGAAACGAGATTATTGGAATTATTGTAAGGAAGTTTTTTTTTCTCTCAATGTTTGATTGACCCCGATCTCTGTCTGCCTCCTATTTCTTGATCCATCTCGTTGACCATTCTGTGGTCACCGGTCGAGACTTCACAACGTTAAAATTGGGTTCAAATTGAATTTTACTTTGTCGATAACTCATTACAACACTCCATAGTGCTGACAGTAGCCTTGGTTGGCTTGTATAAGTCAGTTTTGAGATACATTTGGAAAATTATACTAGTAAAGAACGAAGGGTTTGATTTTGATTAACCTGGTTCGACTTAATTTGAATACGCTTCCCGCCTACTCGAAAAATAGTAATCTTTCGTTTTCTTTTTGCCAGTGAAAAACCTTTTGAGCGAAATTTAACAGAAATTTTCCCGTGTTTTAAAATTTCTTTTTTAAGTGATTTGTCACAAGTTGAATACCAAGCGAAATATTTTCGTTTCGTCCTTATTGCAAAGTGGGCACTCATGAGGAACAAAATAAAATATTTTTGCATACTAATTTTGAACTTCATTTTGTGCAGGATGTTTTTAAATAACAACTGTTCAAAATTCCGACTGCTCCTGTTTTAACGAATATCTCTATCAATTTAGTCATTCTGTTCTGAAGCAAATCTTTATACGTATCCCCGCACAGATGTCGACTCCATGAGTTTGACTGGCTTTATCATGTCGCTCAGCCCGACATGTTAATTTTATTCATAATATGTACCCTTTATCTGTATCTAAAAGTCTTTTGTTCATTCTTGTTCGTATAAACAAAGTATTCGCACACATAGATTCGATTTCCTTCAATAATCTCAAAATGTAACTTTTCTCGGGATTCAGATACCTAGATACCACAACACTTGTGCTTTTTGTTCTCTTCACAAACATGTACGGATGTCTTAAAACACGTATATTAAAATCAGCATTTACTTGGCGGATTTTCTGAACAGTTTCTTAGCGTGTCTCGCTTAATGCTCACATTACTGAAATTTTCCAGTGTTGTCAAGAGTATTCATAAAAAAAGATCATTCATCAAATATGTAAAAAAAAAAAAGAATTAAATAATACTTTCCAGCATTTTACTGGGTTTGGAGTGGAGGAGAGGATACGTTTTCCTTTCAAGGGAACAGTACACTGTCAAACCTGATTTAAATTATGCTAGTTTGTTCACTTTGGTGACACACCTGATAGAAAGCCAAGCATGTCTGCTGTAGAGAGCTCTCTACAGGGTTCATACTAAGGCAATAGCTATTTTTAAATTTATTAGAAAGCAAAGGGAGGAGGTGGCTGAAATTCAGGCTAAATAATGTAAACCAACATCCTCTTTTAAAAGAAGCTAAGAATTGTAAATTCACACTAGTGGATGCCTGTCAATTCTCGGTAAAACATGTAGTTCTATTAACCAATTGACTGAGTCCTGTGCTGTCCATAACGGACCGTGAAAAGCGTTGGCCTTTGTTCTACTTCCTGATGTCATCACCTTTGACCAAAACTGGCATCATCTAAACTCAAGTTACACAGGAGGAAAAGATCTTTCCAATGATACCCAGATCAGGGGTATTGGCTCAAAGGAGCCTGAAATATGCATGAAAATGCTCAGAAATTTGAGTGAAAAACTCTGAGCAAAACTTTCTACAACTACATGAAGCTACTCCATGGTAGAAATTGCCCGTCTCGTTGATGCTTTCTCAGAAATTTTTGAACTGGAAGCAAGCCTAGTAGAAGGTCAATCACTGCAGCAAAAAGACAAGAAAAGGAGAAAAAGGAAAGGCAAAAAACATTTAAAAAACTGCAAACCCTAAAGACATAGGTCACTAATTTCTCATCCAAAAACTTGAAAGTTTTATTTCTGTACATGCCCGAGCAACATGTCGTAAACACGATGCTAGTGGAAAGAGAGCCATGCTGTCATGTTGCAAATGCCTTTTTGGGTAGATTGGAGTTTATTTGGCCCATATACAGGCTGAAAATCTCCAAAATGTCCAAAAAATGCGTTTTTGGCAAAAAGCTCCGGGAGTCAATGGGTTAACACAGAAGTAGGATATAATCAGCTGATTGACATCCAACAAAAATGCAGTCTGTCTAGGCTATTTGCTTTTAAAGTCTGTGGAGTTTGCAATAACTGTAAAATGACGACACATTGTTCTTAACTTGCTATTAATTTAAGTTCATTTTAAGTAAATCTTCTGTAGTTTAATTTAAATCTGTTCTTCCACAGTTTTTCAGTGTAAAAGGGAGATAATTCTTGATGAAGGTAATTATTTTTCTCATGTGAATATTGTTTCTAAGCTTTAATGTTGCTGCTCATCAAAGAAAGCAATCCTTGATAGCACAACAATTTTGAGAAAAACAGCATTCTGTCATTATCAGTGATACACTTATTGTTAGATTCAGTTTCCATTGTTTTTAAAGAATATTGTCATAAACATTTGTATTATGTTGTAGCCTCTGTTTGAAGCTAGTGCACATAAATTGGGAATAATAGGTGAAGTCTGCATACAAGCCAAGTGGCCCATCAGACTTGCTCTGGCACTTATCCAGGTTTCTGTAGCATGAAGCGACTAGGAGTATTTCTACTCCCCTTGGATGGGATGTTAGCCATGGCAGGGTTATTACCCCCAGCATTAAGCTCGCGGTGTCCATTTATACGCCTGGGTGGAGAGAGGCACTGTGAGAGTAAAGTGTCTTGGTTAAGAACACAACACAATATCCCCGGCAGGGCTCCAACCTGGGTCACTTGATCCGGAGCGCACTAACTATGAGGCCACTGCACCTCCCACAAATTGGGAATAATATTTTTCTATTATTCTAATATTCTATTGTAATATTATTATTCTAATATTATTTTCATACATTTAGTTTAAAATTCATGATCAAAAGCAAGACATTTTTGTTTTTGCATTTGGAGGCGTGGCGCTGGTGCTGTTATGGTTTGAGTGTTGTAGCATTGGCTGTAGCCATTGAATGGCGCACTTTACTCGCACAGTTCCTGGCTACTCCCATGTGTAAGTGGGTGTCGCCCACTTGTTAGGGCAGCTTGAAGATGCGATTGATAGGGGAGGGGGGTAATCTTTGATGGACTAGGTCTCATCCAACAGGAGCAATGCCCATCATGCTTCGCAAGTTGGGATAAGCTCTAGCACTTTGCACTCCCTTGACCTATTCAAGGTACAATTTTATTTATCCTTGTTCTGTAAGGGACCCCTTTAGTCTCATTCAGCTGGTTATCATCGGCAACAGAGTTGTAATCAGAAGTGCAGAGTGATATGATCTGGTGAAAATCAATCAGACGGAGTCAGAAACAGAATACCAATTCCACTCATGACTCTGTTGTTTTTGATTTAGTGAGGACTAGATTGTTGGAATTGCAAGCAGAAATTTCTAGCATTGTACTCGGACAATCTAGCTTTCACTGGATCATAAGTGACTCAGTCATTGGCGGAGTCCGAACAAATGGAAACATTTTGATTCTTCCAACTCTGATTCCATCGAGCTTATGACTCTGCATTAGAGCAACTCCTATTTTCAATTGTCACTAGGTTTTAAGCTCTCTTATGACTCTTACTCTGACTCCGTTGCTGGTGAAAACCACCCTTAGAAAAAAACTTTTCTAACACTGCCATATTTTTGCAGATTACCCAGCTTATAGCAGACAACAGCTACGGGAAAGAATCAATACCAACGAATACAATCCCATTGAGAATGACTATGAACAGAATTTTAATGAAAGGGAGGCATTTCCACCAGGTCGGCTGGACGATTCTGAATGGATCTTGAATGAGAATGAATATGAAAATAGCAGAGATGATAGAAATTTAATACTGTCTCTGGCTGGAGATGATGCGCGCTACGAGAGAAGAGGGCTGAATAAGTTACCTGTACGTGGTGGGCCTTTACCACCTGAGGTGCTGGAGAACTGGGGTCAGATCAATGCAGGCAAACATGACGGTACCACAGAAAGCCCTCACTCTGATCCAGAACAGCTTAACAAAGCACACCATCAAGCTGAATATGATTATGATGACTTAAAAGCTAGAAGACATATACGACAACATGAAGAAAGTAGAGATTCTGTACACAGTGTAGGCAATATACNGCAATGCCCATCATGCTTCGCAAGTTGGGATAAGCTCTAGCACTTTGCACTCCCTTGACCTATTCAAGGTACAATTTTATTTATCCTTGTTCTGTAAGGGACCCCTTTAGTCTCATTCAGGTGGTTATCATTGGCAACGGAGTTGTAATCAGAAGTGCAGAGCGATATGATCTAGTGAAAATCATTCAGACGGAGTCAGAAACAGAATACCAATTCCACTCATGACTCTGTTGTTTTTGATTTAGTGAGGCCTAGATTGTTGGAATTGCAAGCAGAAATTTCTAGCATTGTACTTGGACAATCTAGCTTTCCCTGGATCATAAGTGACTCAGTCATTGGCAGAGTCCAAACAAATGGAAACATTTCGATTCTTCCAACTCTGGTTCCATCGAGCTTATGACTCTGTATTAGAGCAACTCCTATTTTTGATTGTCATTAGGTTTTAAGCTCTCTTACGACTCTTACTCTGACGCCATCGCTGGGGAAAACCACCCTTTAAAAAAAAAAAACTTTTCTAACACTGCCATATTTTTGCAGATTACCCAGCTTATCACAGACAACAGCTACGGGAAAGAATCAATACCAACGAATACAATCCCATTGAGAATGACTATGAACAGAATTTTAATGAAAGGGAGTTTCCATCAGGTCGGCTGGATGATTCTGAATGGATCTTGAATGAGAATGAATATGAACATAGCAGAGATGATAGAAATTTAATACTGTCTCTGGCTGGAGATGATGCNGACTGGCACCAGACTGGAAATTATTTGAAGCCCTGATGCGCCTCAAGATTATGGAACAATCTGCCACTTGCCTTGCCCAAGTCAAACTCCATTGAGAACTTTAACTGTTTGTAGATAGCGACTCGCTGTTATTGTAGGTATAATGTACTTTCTTAGTTTTTAAACCTTGATCTTTTTGTATAGATTTTATAACTGATTGTATAATATTACACATATCTTTGTTAAGCACCATGAGCATAGGAATGGTGCTATATGAATTAAATTTATTATTATTATTAGTAGTAGTAGTAGTAGTAGTAATTATGAATAGGGCTTTAGATCACTTAAAAATTTCCTCCAATCCAGTTTGACTGACGTAAGTTTTTACATGTTTTATATTGACACCTTTGGCTATTAAATTGTGAGAGAGAGGTAATAAGAAAAAGTTGAACCTAGGTCTTAATCATTAATTGCTTGACACTATTAATAAATCAAAATAATAAAGATTGAATAACTGCATGCATTGATTAAAAACTAAATTGTTCTCTTGCTCCTTGAGTTATGTTTCACACAGTATTATGACAAAACATATTACACTCTAAATCTACACAGCGTAACCACAACCCAAGCCAAAATAGTTGCAGCAGCACTTCAGAATGCGCTTTGGAACAATGCACCAACCCCCATGTTTACTGTGATGAAGTAAGCTAATGATGACTTAATCGCTCGTTCAAATAAACAAAATCAGTTTTCAAGACACTCATATAAAACATTTACTAATATGAAACATACTCCATGTTTACATAGCCAAGCTGAGAACTCAATGGGGAGTTTGGGAGATCTAAAAAACATGTGTGTGAACCTGAGTTTACTACAGGCAACAAATTGTTAGTCAATTCTAAATTCTTGCATATCGGGTTTTGAGACGGGACACATAATTTGAAAATTAAATTTAGATTTAACTGCAGTTTTGGGCGGCATAAATTGAACTTCCAAGTTTGAATTTTTGAGAGCGCATGTAAAGGTTTTTAACTCTACAGTGTAATTTGTGGTGTAACAGGTGATTCCAGTTTAAATTTTTTAAACCCTTATACAGTTAAAATACAGATTCCCTTTACTGATCTCCATTCTCTTATAAAATTTAAGTTAGGAGAATATCGAATTCCTGAATTTGGAGTTATGCCGAGTGAGCTGCATTGAGGCATTACTTACACAAAACCTTTGTTTTCAACAGAGTTCATGACTCCAAAGTCAAGTTGAAGATGGCAAAGACGAAATACACCCTTGAAGAACCCAAGAATGTTGCTGAGAGGATTAAGAAAGGTACAGATACAAAATACTAAAATACTTTTACAAATTCAGACCTCCTGATTTAGTCATTAAAAAGGGCTTATTATAACTGAGCATAATTCAATGTTGGTCTGGATTGCCACATTGTGCCATTCCAGGAAATATCAATTATAGCAATCCCATAGAAATTCATTGGAAATTCCAGGGGGAGCAGGTGTCCAATGCTGAAGGTTTGAAAGGAAAGTATGCAGCTCCCTGGAAATTTCTAGGGGGGAGGTATCAACTGGAAAGCTCTGTGGAGGTGGTGTGGATATGTTCTGGAACAAGGTGTTTTCATTTATTGTTAGTTCTTGTAGTAATGTTTGCAATCATATTTCCATTTTCTTGTACAGAGCCAAGTGTGAAGGGAGATGTGCAAAGAAACAGTGGTCTGGAGATCATGTCTGCTGATTATGAAGATTCGCCAGTAAGTTTTAACTAAGGTTGTGAACTAGTAATTTTGGCAAAGTGTCACAAAATCAATCTCAGTTTTTACTCTGGAGCATGACTTTGAGGGATTTTGAAAAGTACTCCACATTGCATCGAACAGTCGAGCACTGCATTTTCACCAGTGACACTTGTTTTCTGTTGTTTTGTATCAGCTGATTTTAACAAATAATCAAATTAGAATAAACTTAGTTTAATGAAGCCTTCGAGCTGTGCTACAATTATTAGTAAAATTGTAACAGACAAACATACAATTACTCTGGATGGACATAACATTCCCATTGTACACTGAAGAATTATTTTGTATTTCAAATTTGCCAGACTTGCAGACACACAGAATATTTCTGTTATCTGAAGTGAAATTTTCTAATTGGCTTTTGTATAGTAACCCCTTATGATGCCTATTTGATTGCAATCTAACAGTGATTTTCAACACACAGGCTCAATTTTCTGGCCAAACAGAAAACTTTCTCTGCGCCCAATAAAAAACACCTGGATAAATGAATAAATGATTAGTGTTAAAGTTGTAAGGATAGAGGAGATTAAAGCTTCAGTTTGACAATGAAAATGTCTAAATTCATTCAGACCATTGTTTATCGTTGCCCTAAAAAAGAAAAAAAAATTAATCATTCATCTTTAGCACTTCCTTATTAATAAGTCATGAGTTCAACAGAAGGCTGCTTCATGATGAAGGTTATTAATAATACATAAGTGGAGAAATTTTCATTGAATGAAACCTTCCTGCCTCGATAAGCACCTGTAGTGTGAGAAATAACTGAGTTACTTCCTTTGAAATACAGCCTTGTGAATTTGGGTGAAGTTCATCAGTGGAATATAGGTAAAAAGATTCACAGTCCATGTCATCTTATTTCATGGTGATCGTTGTAAACTTTTTGTAAAATTGCCATTAGAGAGATGATTGATCAAAACCAGTCATTTTCATGAATTGTCTACGGTGGCTTTCCACTTCATCTTTAGCAAGTTCACCTTTCAAGAGATGTTTTTGTTGATTGATGCAGTGTTTTTTGATTTTGAATTTCTGAATTTCACTTTTGTCGTAGATCTACTGTCACTGTAAATTGCTCTACTTGTGTGTTGTAACTTATTGAGAATTTTGACATCCACTTCAACCAAAAAAAAGTTTAATTTACATTTTACTGATTTTATGCTAATTTGGCTTCAACTGCAATCTGTTGAGAAAAGATGATATCATTGTTTTTTTATACCATGTCATAATTCTCCTTTTCCTTTCTTTGCACCAACTTAAAAAAGGTCTTTTTCTACATATTATTCATTTGAGTCATATCATGGGCAAGAAATTGTTGATTGGATTCCATCTGTTGCGAGAATTTTGAAGTGTAGCAGAATATCCTGATTTCACAAATCTGCAATTTTTCAAGTCTCCCAATAACTCAAACCAAAAGCGGTTTCCCTCTCCTCAGTCAAACGCTGTAATTGTACCCACAATTTCTTGAACTATTCTACTTTTCAAACCATTTTTCCCTTCCCTTGATGGTTAAAAAAATCAGAATTCCACTGTACAAAATTGAGTTACTGAACAACAATATAGTCAATTTTCTCTCTTTGAATCTGAAAAAGAAAAGGAAACTGACATAAAAATATGGATGTTCAGATGTTAAGAGGTTTGATGGCAAACAGCAAACATTATGAAAACTTTGTTGTCCAGCTTAACTTGTGTGCACTTGATTAAGTGAGAATATTAATTTTGTTGTATTTGCTGTGATTGGGAGATTTTTTTCTATTTTTGTGTTGGATTGACTCTATATTTAAAATTAAATGAGACACAAATTTTTCTACTTGCTGTTCGCGGTAAATGTCATTCTTAAATCCTCTACTGTTATGGCAAATGGTAAACAGCACAGCAACTTCAAATGATTATGTTCAGTGTACTTGTAAAAATGGCTGAGTACAGCAGCAAAAGTATTTTTTGTTGTTTGCTGTTTTCCATAAATACGATTTCTAGCTTCTCTATTTTCTATGTGCATACAGCAAAAAGCTTGTACAAAATAGTAACAACAATACTTTTTTTGTGCTTGCAGAAACGGGATGTAAAAGGGCATCCTCAACGATCTGTAGAAACTCAACAGCCAAAGTATTTTCTTATAACTATAATTGTTGTGGGTTGTGTTACTGGAGTGGTGCTGACAGCAGTTGCAATTTACCTTATGATGAGAAGGTAGGTACCATTTGTTTTATCTGTTCCATCTTTTTGTTAACTTGAGTGTTACATGTAGGTTTGAAATCTTTGTTTGTGTGTTATTTTAGTGATAAAACAATTAAGTAAATTGATTTCTTCCTGTCATAAATTAAGCATTCAAATTTGCTCTGGCACTTTTGTAAGATCTTAAATCTTAAATATATGTCACTTGGGTTCCTTTTCATTTTGCTCTCTGATGTGTAAATTCATAGCTGGGTAAATTCACATTTGTTTTGTTTTGTGGTTCTCTCCTTTTCACAGTGACGATCATTCTGCCTTTAGAAAAGCGTTTTCTAAAATGTCAACTTCAACACTTACTTCTGTTGATTGGCCAAATAAACTAGTAAATGGGCTTGCAGGTGCCCATGCCTCAAAAGGATATTTCAATGTTTTGTAGTCAATAAGCTAGCTTTGTGTGGATGGACTTGTGACAGTGACTAGTTAGACTTTTGTTGGTTGGCTAATCAGTGAAATTCGCTCTTTCACTAGCATGTGCGCTTGAGATTCCTCAGTCAGATTGCAGTTGCATCCAAACCCTGCAGTCAATCAGGGTCACTAGTAAGCGTGTGTGCCAAATGTACATTGACATGTGATTCCATCTTGCAAGAACTTTATTGACATTATTTTATTGTTTTTTCAGACACAATGAAGCAAAGAACTTTAAACCTGTCACTCTTCCCGGCCAGGAGGCAGCTGCAGACTATCAGGTAAAACTGTTTGCTTTAGAGTTTAAGAAAAATATTTTAAGTTGTATGTTTTAGATTATGCATTTCTTAAACTTCTGATGTGAATCATGTAAATCTTAGCCAAAGACTCTTTCTGATTATCATCCTTATCTGTCTCATTTACATTTTGCTCAGGAGTTGTGTCGTCAGCTGCGAGCCACCCAAGGCTGGGACAGTGCACCTGTTAAGACCACACCCTTACNATTTTTCTTTGTCCCACGCTCGTGTCATGTTGATTAAATCACCTTCACATTTCATTACCGAGCTTAAAATTCACCATCTTTATTAACTTATCACAAAAGAGAATTATTAGGAAGTTGTAAGCATTTTGCCTTAACTTGGCAAATGCCAATTCCTTTTGGAGTGTTTTATAAATTATACTCTGCTTATTTTTCAAGTCATACATGGAGGACCATCTTAATAACAAGGATCGGCTGAACAAGGAGTGGGAGGTAACACTGTCAATTCTTTTCCTTAATTTGACTTTTTATGTTGTTAACTTGTTAAATGGCAATGCCTAAATGGAGGGGAGCATGAGAAAAATGCCAATAAGAGAGTAATCGTTGGAACATCCCTGGAGAAAACTGCAGGCATCAGTAGATCACCTGCTGGCTGATGGGAGATCTCCCTGTTGACTATGATTTTTGACAAACTCACGACCTTGGACTAAAACATACCAACCAATGTCATACATCTCCTAATACGGGGGTTTCATTAAGAGTGGGGCACCAGCAAATTTACCAGTGACGATGATTTTTCCCATCTGGTTCGACCACCTAGGCAAAGTTTTTCTTATAACAAAGTTCAGTTCAAAAAGATTTTCCTGCCTGTGTAAACCAGTTGCCCACCTGATGAAAATGTTAATGAAACCCTTGCTTAAATACTGGCATGTGATAACATGTAACAATAACTATAACAATAATAACAACATCATGACAATGTCAACAGTAACAATGAAGGTTGTACACTGTACCACTTAATTCTAATATTGTAAACTATGAGAAATTTCGTGCAGTCAGTACTAATAAGCTTCAGTCTAGAGGAGTTCAGATCAGTTTGAGTAATCCAGGGTGGAAACTATGATAACTTTGCTGTGAAAAGCTAAGAGAGAATCTGTAACTTCCCAGAATAGAGCCAGATCTTTGAACAGGTTATTAGTTCATTTAGTATGTGTATATTAAAAATCCTTTTTGTTGTAGGCGCTGAAGACATATGAGGCTGAGCCTAACAGCAGGGAAATTGGAAAGTTGGAAAAGAATGCTCGCAAAAACCGTTACAGTGATGTCTTGCCATGTATGTATTTAAACATTGGAAAACACCTTGTAAAAAAGTGTGCACTAAAAGCCATACTTCTATAACTTGATACTTCAATAACTTGATTGAAACAAAGAATGGTATGAGCTGTTGACATAATGATGAAATAGAAGAGGTTAATATATAGTTATAGAAACACTCTTGAAAGTTGGGGATAAGCTTGAAAAAGACCTGGAAACACTGATCTGTGGCTTGTGTTCTCACAGCATTTCTCTTTTTCCCAAACTTCCTCTTGTTTTTCTATTTGACAAGTAGATTATCAGCTTGAGATTTCTATGAGATGATAGTTAACGAGGCCGAAGGCCAAATCAACTACCACCTCATAGAAAGTGAGAGCAAATAATCTATTGTAATTGGTTTAGTATAAATCTGAGTCATTCAAACCTTAATCTAAATCTTCTTCACAAACACTTCAAAATTGCAAAGAAGGGGCTGCTAGGGTGTTGACAAAAGCACACTGCTATGCTACTCACTATCCACAAAAGAATAGATATTGAGTAGCGTAGCCAATTAGAGAACGGCAATCAAGATAGAATGCGAGTAGATTTATATTAAAACGTGTTAGAAACAACATTAGTGCATTTTCTCTTCAGATTCTCAACAAGGGATAGTGTCTTCATTTGCAAATAAAATTTAAGGACATTCATTGTATCCAGTAAAGAGAATTGTTATCATGGGGATAGAGTTAACCTTGCTTGTAGCCAACTTCCTTGTCATTACTTTGCAGATGATCATAACAGGGTTTTGTTGAAAGAGACTGCAAGTGCTACTGGCTCAGACTACATCAATGCAAGCTATGTGGTAAGTCTGTAGCTTAAAATTAATTTCTTTGTGGTTTGAGCAGTTTTTGAATGAGCATGGAGAAATCGAAACCAGAGTAAACACCAATACCTGGGGAAACTTGTGTGAGTGAGTCACAATTGGTTTTGGTTTTACTTTATAGAGAGGTTTTCAATCGAGTGTTGAAAGTAATCAGGCATTTACTATGGTTTTGGTTTTGGTTTTACTACGGGTTGAGATTGGTCGAGAAGTCTAATTGGTGAGTTATTGGTTTGGTTTTGGTTTTATGACACTCAATTGAAAACCGCTTTATTCAAAGACAAAGTGGTATAAGTTTTGTAAGGCAAAACCAAAGCAAGTGCGAATTACTTTTCACAGTCAAGTGACTATTTTCATGAAATTGATTTTTGTGTGGTTAACAACGATTGGTTCTATGCGTGCATGTGGTTATGGTACATAAACTGGAAACTGGCTTATTTTTACAGTTTATCCTGTTTATCCACGTCATTTGGCGTCTTAGAGTACTGTTATCCCCCCNCATCTTTGTGACTACATTCTGACAGTTTCGAGTCGATTTAAACATTTGATTCAGACAATCCATTGGAGAAGAGCTTAGCCTAAAATGTTTAGGTATTATTGGAATAATTGGCAGTTTTCATGTACTCAACTGAAAGATATCCATTTGGTGTAATCAATAAGAATCCAGTGTGACCGGTGGATATGAAGAAAAATTTGCCAGCAAGAATGTATTGTAACATTTGCGGTATGCTTTTCATTTCAGATGGTGTGGGAACAGGGCGTTGTTGTGATTGTTAACCTAACAAAACTCTCAGATCTTGGACTGGTAAGTGTCGTCGATGACATAAGAAAAGAAATTTCAAAGTGTCTATAGCTAGGTGGCTCTTTTTGTTTTTCACTTGAATCTTTGTGAAAATTTTGTCGAAATCACTAAATCCCAGTTTTGCTGACCTAGTTAAATTCTGTCTCTGTAGCCTCAATGTCACAGATATTGGCCTGAAGAACAGCAGCCGATTGTCACATATCGCATTTACGAGGTAAGCACGTTTTTATTGCACATTTTTGTCTCAGTTGTTCTGTCATGCCTGCTGACCAGAATAATTATGTTATAATAATCAAGTGCTTCAGCTTGAGTAATTTTTAAGTTCTTTTTTGTGTTAGGTTCACCTTGTCTCCGAGCATATATGGTGTGAAGACTACTTAGTAAGAAGCTTTTACTTAAAGAATTTACAGGTAGGTTCTTCCACTCTCTTTTTGTATATGAACAGAAAACTCCTGAAAATACCTTCACCAAAAGAAGACATTCTCCCTCGTTCCGGCACACACGTCAAAGAGCACCTTTATCAAAGATATACCTTACAGATCAACTGTGCATGCTATGCTTTGTGGCCTACTGTGTAATCTTTTTTTTTTTTTTTGCATGGTTAGTTCTTTAAATTGTTCATGTTATCCATGTTATTTTAATGTTACAGACCAGTGAAACAAGAACGGTCACTCAGTTTCATTTTCTCACGTGGCCTGATCTCAATGTCCCTTCAACTCCTAAACCACTTCTGGAATTTAGACGGTAAGACATTCTTAAAAACTATGCGAGCTTTGTCATGAACAATCTAGTAACACACAGGGTCTGGTTTTTACTAGAAATTTTTGGTACCTGTTGGTGACTTTGATAGACATTCAGAGACGGTAGAACGTTTTGAAACATGAGGGGGCGCGTCGCTAGGCTAAGCGTATACCTCTACTCCTGTTTTCCAAGATGTCTTTTGCGCTGTTCTTTTACACAAACAAACTTCTTTGCGATGTCTACAGTGTTCAGTGTGTCCGTAATAGACTTATGACAATGCAGGCGGAGGCAGTTGTTTAGACAATCCTTCTTTATGATGCTTCTAAGGAACAGAGGCCGGGGCAGTTCAAAACGTCCTTCAAAATAGTATTTCGCCAAGCGTGAGCCTGATGTAACGAATTTTATGAAAAGATCACGGTTCGGAATATTTTGTGAAACTAATTTTAAACTGCGCTAGCGGTACTTTTGGCACCGAAATGTAGAGGCTGACCCCCAAATTTTCGTTGGGGGGGTTAGAGCTCCCCTGCCCCCTGCTCGCCGCCTATGACATTGAAGTTAATGAACTGATGTTCCACGCTCATGCTAGAATAGACTGTTCTCTGTAAATGTTTGTAAGATTCCAACAGTGATGTGACAAGTTTGCACATACAATTATCTGTCTCTTGCAGGAAAGTAAACAAGTGCTTTAGGGGCCGAGCCTCCCCTGTAGTCGTGCATTGCAGTGGGGGTGTGGGGAGGACTGGAACCTACATACTGATTGACATGGTGCTCAATAAAATGATGAGAGGTGAGCATTAAGCGCACACACCAATCAACTGTCATTGATTGGTGGGATTACATGGAACAGGTTTTAAATGACAGTTTTTTACTTTCGTTTGACATTGGTTTCACATGGGTGCCATAATGCTTTAAAAGTTATTCAGCAGATTGATCTAGCCAATGAGGACATGGTAAAATGTATAATTCTTTTATTTCAGGTGCCAAAGAAATTGACATTGCTGCTACTGTGGAGCATCTCCGTGACCAGCGACCATCAATGGTCAAAACCAAGGTGCGTGACATTATGTTCTTATGTGCAATCTGTATGTCTGCGTTGTGTTTTTTTTTTTGCCATTTTTGATACGGTTTTGTACTGGACTTGAGTTTGCAATTGTTGATCATCATCTGTCATAATGTTCTCTTGGTTGCCAGTCCAAATTGTCTTGAATTCTTTTATCTACAACACTTATCTGTAACAAACCTATTGAGAACAGTTCTGCTCAGATATTTTGCTCGTTTATTCCAGGTTACGCAGTGTCTGTTATACATGGGGAAGTTTACTTACTTACGCGAAAAAAAGAAAACAAAATGTGATCAAAATGGTGATCTACTAAGCAATTGGATTATGAGCTCGAGATTTCTATCACGCATAGAAATCGAGAGCGAATAATATAATTGTTTTAGTATAAATCTACTAGTCGTCCAAAACTTTATCTAAATCCTCTTCACAGACACTTCGAAAAAGCCAAGGAGCGGTTGTGATTTTGTTAACAAGGACACACCGGTACGCTACTCACTATCTATCACAGAATAGATAGTACCGGGTAGCGTAGCCAATCAGAGAACGGCAGTCGTGATAGACCGCTAGTAGATTTATACTAAAAAGTGATAGTCCTGTTTTGAATTAGCCAAGACCGCTGGATGAAAAGCCTGAAGACTCATTTGTACAGACATAAAATGTTCACAAATTACCGGCAGGAATACTAAAGCTAGCTACACAGTTGTTCGGTTTTTCTTGCTATTTTTGAATAATTAATTCAGATGGAGACTAACACTGTACAGATGCCTCTTTGGTCTTCTTTCTTCTTTGTTCACAATCAACGTTCCCTCCCACTGACGCACTTCCCACGCGAATACCTTTCAGTGTATTTAGATTCTGCAATAAACCTTACCTTCTTACATTTCGTCCTGTGTACTGCCCACTCCTAATGTAACATCTTTTTCTTGTTTCCAGGCTCAATTTGAGTTTGCCTTGACAGCCGTTGCGGAGGAAGTGAATGCAATCCTCCAAGCACTCGCCAAATGATTCTTGCCAACCAAAAAAAAAAAGTATTTTATCAGCACTCTAGGGATTTTAATTTGGTCACTTGTAAATGGGCAAAGTGATTCTTTAAATTTTGTTGGTAAATTGGTACTAACGAAAATTCATTTATATAGTTTTTATGAAAATGGTAAAAAATATTTTATTTTTCAAATAATGTTCTGTTGATACCAAAGGGAAATATTGCTGTGGAATAGTTATTTTGTCAGATCTAGGAGCTAAGCGATGGTGTCATTGTCTCACTTCAAAATGTTTTTTGCGGAAACAACAAAATTCACTGTTCCAAACTTCAGACTTTTTGTTTCAACTCACGTGTCTCGCGTGCCTCGCGTGATTCTCGTGTAATATACGTGACCCTTCTATGACTTGCGTGACGCCTTAACACGAATGTCACAGACGATGAGAAAAGTCTTGCCTGGCTCTTAGGTCTGACTATTTTAGTTCTGTTTCTACTTCGAGACGGATTTTTCAAAATATTTGGTTGTAGATAGAGTTGGTTTTAGTTCCTGTTGTGTTAGTGTTTACCACTTGAAGGATTTGGCATTTAGTTGTATCGGAATGGGCCAGTCGTCCATGTAAATCACTTAAGAGATTTTTATTATTACGTGCCAGTAAGTTTAGTTATGAATTTAATAATAACTATTAGTTTGTGAACAAGTGCCCCTTTGAAAATCACGCCCAACCGTCTAAGTTTTAAACACCAGTGTTGGGTTGAAAGTTGTATCAACTCAGGTTGTCAGAGGGAAAGCACTTGTTGATGTGTTACGGACACAAAATTTTATTTACTTGTGAACAGTTTTGTTAAAGTTAAATTAGTGGTTTTTTAATGATCTCTTGCTTGATAATGTGGCGTGATCCTAGAAGACTGTTTCCTAATAATTTACTAATGGTGTTCTGAAATTCTGCGACTTCACTTTTTTCAACTACTGATCTCATTAACTGAAGTAGTTTTTTAGTTGTTTTGATTTCACGTACCATTTAGTAAGGTGGTTCTTCTCGACTCATTACACCGAGACCGCCGAGTGTCTACCACAATTTTCCAGTGTTTTTCCGTTGTATATTGTCGCGAATAACTCATAGAAAAGGTGCATTTGGATTGACTGAAAGCCATATTTCCATCGCCATGGAAGGATCGTTTTCTATGGGTTGTTTTATGAAAGGAATTTAAAACATTTTTGTCTCCGTTTAGTAGAATTATAGAACCTCCTAGCAACAGTTCACTTGTTCTTACTTTTGCAGACTTCGAATGTGTAAACAATTAACAATTTTAGATTATGATTTATGAGCTCGAGATGTCTATCTCCCGATAGTTTACGAGGGCCCAGCCTGCAGCCCTGGTCGACTATCACACACAGAAATCTCGAGCTCATAATCTAACTGTTTAATATTATAAATCTATTAGTCGTTCAAGTCTTTATCTAAGTCCTCGTCACAGACACTTCGAAAACGCTAAGAAGCGGCCGTCGTTTTGTTAACAACCGCACATTGCAAGGCTATTCGCTATCTACATCAGAACTGATAGATGGTGAGTAGAGAAGCCAGTGAGAGAACGTTATTCGTTATAGAACACCAGTAGATTTATACTAAAATTATGTAGAAACTCAACGGATGTTTTTTTTTTGTCTTCAGTATAATGACAGCGTCCTTCCAGAAATATAACCAAAGGAATATATCTATATACATACTGGTACACACGGTATTCTAACTGTTGAAACCTTTACAGGTTCAAGTTAAGCCACGTTTCCGTAACAGTAGTTCAGGAAAAAAATTGAACAACAAAGGACAATTATTTTTATTTATATTTTTTTGAAGCAGTTTAGATCGATTGTTGGTAAGGTGTGGTTGTGTTTTGTTAACTTTTTCATCAGCATCTCGAGAAAGGTTTCTTTATCGAAGGCCTGTATCCTTCAAGCATCTGAAGTCGGTTCTTGAAAGGGTTAAGTGGACATAACCAGATGTAATTATCAATATTGAAAACTGAATGAAGCTCAGATAAAATCCTTTACCTCCTGAGAGCAGAAAGTTAAAAATATTCTAAAAATTCTACCCTGCAATATCTTTCATTTGAATGGTCACGTACCACGGTTATATCCTCAGACACTAGGCTTGTACATCATAATAAACAGTGCCACATGAAAATACTGCTCAATCATCATCCGAAGACTTGGTTTGACTCTAGGAGGTACCAATTTGTTTGGTATATTTGAAATTGTTCTCAGATAATTCATTATTTATGTAAACAATTAACGATAGGTGTATATTGCGTTGTAAAGTAATCGGAAACGGTGGTTATGGAAGGAACGTCGGTAGCTGAGAATCGAAAACGTGAATAATTAATTTATAGGGGAATAATTTCTCGGGTATGTTACGTTAAATAACTGTATTAACGAAACTTATTGTTTGCAGAGTTAATTACTGAGTTATGTAATAAGGGGTTGTATCTGTATGTTATTATTCACATACTGTGATATTACAGTACACGTTCGCATGAAAACTATACCTAATACATATTTGCTGTGGTCTAAATTAACTGGCTGGCTATATAGCCCCTTAGCGACATGAGTAAATTCCTTGTTAATTTCTGTCCCAGAATTAAAAATACTTCACCCATACTACAATTAAGGTTTACACCACGGCAAATTATTATTTTTGTTCTACAAGCCCTTGCTTTCTGCACATGAGGAACAGCCGTGTGTCACTTTGGCTGCATTTGCCCATTCTTTTCTCTAAAGCCTCGAACGAGTAGTACTGGGGTTGAGAATGGCATTTACTCTGCTGAGCAGTAGAATACTGGAGTTTGTAGATCAACTTTAAGTTAAAAATGTTCTCACGAACAACTTCTCTTCAAGAATGGACAAATAAAATGGTGCAAAACGGGAAGTGAGGTGTATTATCGTTTGAGTTAGCTTCACAAAAGCAGCGTCCACAATACCCTGGAGAAAGATGAACACGAAGCTTCACTTTTACGGTTAGGCCTCCCGTCCACTCAATAAATCCGTCACGAAAACGGTGCTTTTCGAAAACGCTCTTCAAACTGGAGGAATTTGANGAGCGAATAATATAATTGTTTTAGTATAAATCTACTAGTCGTCCAAAACTTTATCTAAATCCTCTTCACAGACACTTCGAAAAAGCCAAGGAGCGGTTGTGATTTTGTTAACAAGGACACACCGGTACGCTACTCACTATCTATCACAGAATAGATAGTACCGGGTAGCGTAGCCAATCAGAGAACGGCAGTCGTGATAGACCGCTAGTAGATTTATACTAAAAAGTGATAGTCCTGTTTTGAATTAGCCAAGACCGCTGGATGAAAAGCCTGAAGACTCATTTGTACAGACATAAAATGTTCACAAATTACCGGCAGGAATACTAAAGCTAGCTACACAGTTGTTCGGTTTTTCTTGCTATTTTTGAATAATTAATTCAGATGGAGACTAACACTGTACAGATGCCTCTTTGGTCTTCTTTCTTCTTTGTTCACAATCAACGTTCCCTCCCACTGACGCACTTCCCACGCGAATACCTTTCAGTGTATTTAGATTCTGCAATAATCCTTACCTTCTTACATTTCGTCCTGTGTACTGCCCACTCCTAATGTAACATCTTTTTCTTGTTTCCAGGCTCAATTTGAGTTTGCCTTGACAGCCGTTGCGGAGGAAGTGAATGCAATCCTCCAAGCACTCGCCAAATGATTCTTGCCAACCAAAAAAAAAAAGTATTTTATCAGCACTCTAGGGATTTTAATTTGGTCACTTGTAAATGGGCAAAGTGATTCTTTAAATTTTGTTGGTAAATTGGTACTAACGAAAATTCATTTATATAGTTTTTATGAAAATGGTAAAAAATATTTTATTTTTCAAATAATGTTCTGTTGATACCAAAGGGAAATATTGCTGTGGAATAGTTATTTTGTCAGATCTAGGAGCTAAGCGATGGTGTCATTGTCTCACTTCAAAATGTTTTTTGCGGAAACAACAAAATTCACTGTTCCAAACTTCAGACTTTTTGTTTCAACTCACGTGTCTCGCGTGCCTCGCGTGATTCTCGTGTAATATACGTGACCCTTCTATGACTTGCGTGACGCCTTAACACGAATGTCACAGACGATGAGAAAAGTCTTGCCTGGCTCTTAGGTCTGACTATTTTAGTTCTGTTTCTACTTCGAGACGGATTTTTCAAAATATTTGGTTGTATATAGAGTTGGTTTTAGTTCCTGTTGTGTTAGTGTTTACCACTTGAAGGATTTGGCATTTAGTTGTATCGGAATGGGCCAGTCGTCCATGTAAATCACTTAAGAGATTTTTATTATTACGTGCCAGTAAGTTTAGTTATGAATTTAATAATAACTATTAGTTTGTGAACAAGTGCCCCTTTGAAAATCACGCCCAACCGTCTAAGTTTTAAACACCAGTGTTGGGTTGAAAGTTGTATCAACTCAGGTTGTCAGAGGGAAAGCACACAAAATCCGATTTGTTGTTGTGTTACGGCACACAAAATTTTATTTACTTGTGAACAGTTTTGTTATAGTTAAATTAGTGGTTTTTTATTGATCTCTTGCTTGATAATGTGGCGTGATCCTAGAAGACTGTTTCCTAATAATTTACTAATGGTGTTCTGAAATTCTGCGACTTCACTTTTTTCAACTACTGATCTCATTAACTGAAGTAGTTTTTTAGTTGTTTTGATTTCACGTACCATTTAGTAAGGTGGTTCTTCTCGACTCATTACACCGAGACCGCCGAGTGTCTACCACAATTTTCCAGTGTTTTTCCGTTGTATATTGTCGCGAATAACTCATAGAAAAGGTGCATTTGGATTGACTGAAAGCCATATTTCCATCGCCATGGAAGGATCGTTTTCTATGGGTTGTTTTATGAAAGGAATTTAAAACATTTTTGTCTCCGTTTAGTAGAATTATAGAACCTCCTAGCAACAGTTCACTTGTTCTTACTTTTGCAGACTTCGAATGTGTAAACAATTAACAATTTTAGATTATGATTTATGAGCTCGAGATGTCTATCTCCCGATAGTTTACGAGGGCCCAGCCTGCAGCCCTGGTCGACTATCACACACAGAAATCTCGAGCTCATAATCTAACTGTTTAATATTATAAATCTATTAGTCGTTCAAGTCTTTATCTAAGTCCTCGTCACAGACACTTCGAAAACGCTAAGAAGCGGCCGTCGTTTTGTTAACAACCGCACATTGCAAGGCTATTCGCTATCTACATCAGAACTGATAGATGGTGAGTAGAGAAGCCAGTGAGAGAACGTTATTCGTTATAGAACACCAGTAGATTTATACTAAAATTATGTAGAAACTCAACGGATGTTTTTTTTTTGTCTTCAGTATAATGACAGCGTCCTTCCAGAAATATAACCAAAGGAATATATCTATATACATACTGGTACACACGGTATTCTAACTGTTGAAACCTTTACAGGTTCAAGTTAAGCCACGTTTCCGTAACAGTAGTTCAGGAAAAAAATTGAACAACAAAGGACAATTATTTTTATTTATATTTTTTTGAAGCAGTTTAGATCGATTGTTGGTAAGGTGTGGTTGTGTTTTGTTAACTTTTTCATCAGCATCTCGAGAAAGGTTTCTTTATCGAAGGCCTGTATCCTTCAAGCATCTGAAGTCGGTTCTTGAAAGGGTTAAGTGGACATAACCAGATGTAATTATCAATATTGAAAACTGAATGAAGCTCAGATAAAATCCTTTACCTCCTGAGAGCAGAAAGTTAAAAATATTCTAAAAATTCTACCCTGCAATATCTTTCATTTGAATGGTCACGTACCACGGTTATATCCTCAGACACTAGGCTTGTACATCATAATAAACAGTGCCACATGAAAATACTGCTCAATCATCATCCGAAGACTTGGTTTGACTCTAGGAGGTACCAATTTGTTTGGTATATTTGAAATTGTTCTCAGATAATTCATTATTTATGTAAACAATTAACGATAGGTGTATATTGCGTTGTAAAGTAATCGGAAACGGTGGTTATGGAAGGAACGTCGGTAGCTGAGAATCGAAAACGTGAATAATTAATTTATAGGGGAATAATTTCTCGGGTATGTTACGTTAAATAACTGTATTAACGAAACTTATTGTTTGCAGAGTTAATTACTGAGTTATGTAATAAGGGGTTGTATCTGTATGTTATTATTCACATACTGTGATATTACAGTACACGTTCGCATGAAAACTATACCTAATACATATTTGCTGTGGTCTAAATTAACTGGCTGGCTATATAGCCCCTTAGCGACATGAGTAAATTCCTTGTTAATTTCTGTCCCAGAATTAAAAATACTTCACCCATACTACAATTAAGGTTTACACCACGGCAAATTATTATTTTTGTTCTACAAGCCCTTGCTTTCTGCACATGAGGAACAGCCGTGTGTCACTTTGGCTGCATTTGCCCATTCTTTTCTCTAAAGCCTCGAACGAGTAGTACTGGGGTTGAGAATGGCATTTACTCTGCTGAGCAGTAGAATACTGGAGTTTGTAGATCAACTTTAAGTTAAAAATGTTCTCACGAACAACTTCTCTTCAAGAATGGACAAATAAAATGGTGCAAAACGGGAAGTGAGGTGTATTATCGTTTGAGTTAGCTTCACAAAAGCAGCGTCCACAATACCCTGGAGAAAGATGAACACGAAGCTTCACTTTTACGGTTAGGCCTCCCGTCCACTCAATAAATCCGTCACGAAAACGGTGCTTTTCGAAAACGCTCTCCAAACTGGAGGAATTTGAAAACGCCGGCTTTTCGTTTTCGTGTGGGGCGGAAAACATTTTCCCAAAACGATGTAGTCACGATAACCACGTGATTTCCCTGCCCGAGATTTCCTCAAACACGAATCTAAAATGACCGTTGATTAATGCGTTTTTAAACTCCTCTGGCGTAGTGTGGACGGAAAACATTTGATGCATCATCAGAGTGAAAACACCGTTTTCAAATTTCTCCGTCGTATAGTGTGGACGGGGCCTAAATTTCAGTGCATTGCGTTACTTGCAGCTCAATCATCGAGAGAAATTCCTTGGAATAAGAAAAATGCAACTAGTGCGTTCATTTCTCATTACATCCCTTGCATGGTTCAAGAAAACATAAAAGACACGTGGGGGAGGGGGGTTAGTATTATGATCAGTTTTAATGTAGTTGAACCTAATGAATCAAAATGCAAGCTCTTCGGAGTGGGATTGCATAAAAACGACTTCAAAAACCAAAATTCTAAGTAAAGGAGAGAAAACGAACGCCGACGGAGGAAATCTCTCAAACCGAACACCCTAGCCTTCCTCCGCCATCCTCAAATGTTTGGATGTTTGCAACCCGCGCGTTTGGCGGGAAAACGAGCTGACGACGTCATACATTGTTTGCAAGGCAAAAGAAAATTTTTATCAAGGCAGTCACTTTCCAAAACCCGATTTTTTTCAATTTGCAAAGTAATCTTGGAAAGGTATGGCATCGTCAAGTTATTAACTGAACTGAGCATTTGACTAACAGCTATTTGCTTCAGTTCTTAGCTAAAACTACTAGTGACTGAAGCAAAATAGAGACCTCTGGCTTCGCGTTTTAAACTGGCTTATTTTCATTTTGAAGTACAGAGGTTTTAAGAACTTAAGTTTAATTGAGCTGTTCTATGCTTAGGTTGTTCTTGCAGAGTTAACATACTCAGCTTCAGCTTAAGGCACAAGAATTGATTTAAGCTTAAGCTTAACTTTAGATTCTCGAAATTGTTTTTAGTCTCAAAATGTCCTCGAAGCCTTTGGATGCTTGCAATAATGGCGATTTTCAGTTAGGATTTGGGGCAAACATGAGCTTTGAACCAGCAAGCGAGATTCTCAGTCCAGCAGATTCGCGAAAGAGGACGGTACAACACGACAAAGGACCAGCACGAAACGAAGAGACGTTTGTACAACCGGAGCCTCCGAAGAAACATAAAGGAACACATCCAACTCACGTAAGGTTATTGTTAACCTAACTCAGCTGTTCAACAAAAATTTCCCCAGTGTTTTCTTTGCTGCCTAGAATTTCAGTAAAGAAATATCGACTCAAACTGCGTTGACCGGTAATATCACTGAGTTGGCGGAACTAACCTCTTAACTCTTCAACCAAGAATTCCTCGCTCTCTAGGATTTCAGTAAAGAAATTACTCAAGCCACATTTACAGATAATGTCACTGAGTGAGCAATGTTCACCGCAGCAATGGCGACAAAACACTGACTTGAAAGTTCTTCGCTCTCATTGACTGTTAAGAATTGATCAGTAAGTTTACCGGTATAAATACAGAGGAACCAACGGGCCATAAATATTCGGCCGTATTAACGGGGTGCCGAGTGGTCGTATAACGGGGTAGGGTCTAACCCCATGACTGATCTAAATTGGGTGACGTCTTAACAGATATATGACAATTGCACTTCTAAACAACTGTTCTTTAATAAGCATCCGGAGTGGAGATGATTTTTAAAAAGTTGAAACTGGAATCAGTGTAAAGGTGAACATAACTGTTTTGAGTGGCCGTATAATATAATTATAAAGGATTATACAGTTTGGGATTTCAGAATGTGGCCAGAATGTTCGCCAGGACCAAATAAAGTGGCCGTGAAAACGAGGTGACCGTGAGGCGGAATTCCAGTGTATTTCGAATTTATACATTTGGTTTTTGCACGAACATAGCACCCGCTTTTCAACTTACCATCCAGCGAAATTTACTTATCAGTTATGATTCAATATTCCCTTGGTAAGAGGAATCGGAAAAAGTGACTACACACAGCTTATCTGAATAGGTCACTTAGAATATATCAGGATAATTTTCTGTAGTGTGTCATAAAGCTTACAGTATGCAAGAATTGCACTCGAACTGGTTAATTTATCGCTACTTTCACAGATGACCGGACAAGATCGCGACAATCAGATGAATCCCTCAGATCATATGACATCACATGTGCAGCAAGGAGGTCAGAAAAATCCAGTGCCAAAAGGTAGCCCATTTCCGAGTTGCCTTAGGCCTCTCCGACAAAGCGAGACCTGGTACAAAACCATTATAAGAAAATGAGTTTAATTTGCATGTGAATGAAATCTCAATTTCATATGAAAGGATGGGCACCAAGACTCGCTTTGAGAAATAGGCGAAAGGTTATTCGGAAATGGCCTATTGAATTGGCTCACTAAGATAATTAATTATTTAGGAGATAAATTATGACAACACGATTAATACGCTATCCACTGGAGAAACTGGATAGTGATTTAACTCACAGATAACGTATAACAGCGGCTTCGGGAGAAGTTAGCTCCGTTGGTGAGCAGGATATGTCCTGCTACCTTAATTAATTCCAGGGTCTTTTTATATCTCCTATAACAAGTGGTCCAAAACACGACCAAGGAAGATGGTGTTTAATAATGGTGTTGACTCACTTGCTTTGTACAAGCAGAACTTAAAGTTACTAAACAACCCCTCAGAAACGAGTTGTAGGAAAGAGTAGTTCGAGAGCTCAGTTTGACTTTTGTAAGCTCAACAAATAGAGAAGATTCTAGTAAGAAGGCTCTTCTAAGCATGATACTTTTCACGCCCTTATACATTTCTTGTTCGATTGCTTTGTTCGAGGAGCAGGTCACGGTGCAAAACAACCCTTCAACTTGCTTTACGATTAATGTGTTGTTGGAATCAACTTAATTATACTCCCTTTTCCATACCTAAAACTGTTCCGTAACATATCTATCCTGTAAACAACTGAAACCACCAGAAAAGAGGTCTGAATAAATTATATGAAAAGATACAGTACATAAACCTTTACAGTATGACTAGGTCTCTATAAAAAAAAACCGGCTTCATCGAGATTACAAGTGACATGTTAGTTTAAAAACCAGGAAGAGAAAGAAAGAAAGGAGAGTGTTCAAATGTGTGCAAATTACTTTGTACGCTTTATTTTGCATAAAAACGTTTCTGTTCCTTTACATGTTTAAAGGTTCCTTCTTGCACCAGAATCCCAGTGAACCGGGTAGCAGTGATGATAAAGCAAGGCTCGAAGCTGTTTTACGAGGTGAGCCGTAATCAGGAATGTTTAATATTAGTTGCCTCTGTTACCACGGTTACTAAAAGCAAGTTGTTCTAAAGGATACGTTTTTGAGAACGTATTCTAAAGGTTAAACCCGTCTTTGTGTTTATTAGCTAGTAATGGCTGACACTTTTTTCCTCTTGCCGTAGAACTTGGCCAAGACATGAAGATGGTGTATTTGAAATGGGCACAGCCTTTCGCGTAAGTTCCTGATTATAAATGGATATATGAAAGAGCATATATTTGAACTGCGGAGAAACCTGTGTTGATCATCGCAGTGATAAGCTCAACTTAAGTAGCTGTGAAATTAAAGCTCCCAGATAGCTCAGTTGGTAGAACACTGCACCGGTATCGCAGAGGTCATGGGTTCAAATCCTGTTCAGGCCTGAATTTTTTTCAGGCTTTAATACCACAACTGCTCAAGTTGTGTACATAACCGCGATGATCAATCGTGTCTTCATAATTTCCTGATTCTAGCCATAAGGTTCCATTGTTTCGCAAAGATATTTTTTTTGACTGGTTCTTAGTTCGCGGGAGTTTAGCCCTTTCAGACTCAAAAGGGTTCGGGTTCAAGCGAAAATCGGAGCTGTATTGTGATCTTAGGCACTGCACCATTTTTACATCGCTTGCCCGGGCCGGGACCAGTTGGATATTACTATCCATCGGATAAATCGCTATCCAGTGGAAGTAAGTGTTGGCAAACTGTGTTATCAACTGTATAGTGGATATTCTCGGGCGCACAGCGCCATTCGTTCTTTGAATGACCAGGTCGGCCCCAGTTGTTCGAAAGATGGATAACGATATCCAGTGGATAAATCGCTATCCAGTGGATAAGTGTTGACAAAACAAACTACGCTATCAGCTGGATAGTAATTAATCCGATAGATAGCGTAACTTATCCACCTTTCGAACAACCCAGGCCCGGTGTTTTCTGGCGTATTAAAACGTCTGAAAGTTCACAGTTGTCCACGATCGACTACCATCCCACCAAGAAGGTCGAGTGGCAGAACTCTTATTAAACCAGACAGGAGCACGGTCTTGATACGCCACGAGTAAATTATATGTAATCTTTTTCCTGGTTCATCTGCCATAAGAAAAAGGGTGTGGATGCGCTGTATGCGAAAAGTTGCTGGGGAAGGTAACATTTATTTAATATCCAAGGATTTTTTTGCTAGTATTTTCCCACATAGAACGTAAGCCATTAAAAAATGACACTTGCATGAAGCAACAATGGTGTTTGCTATTGCCGTTTTTCAGTGAGGGCGAATCTTTTGAAGCGTTTTGTCCTGCAAGGCTAGACGAACTTCTGAGGGAGGCGCAAAGGCTGGAACAACACCTCAAGAATCAAAAAGAACGTCTAAGGGAGAGGTTGACCGTTATTACAAGAACTCTGCAAAAGCCAATGTTGTAAATTGTACACTTGAACACATCAGGGAATTCAAGAAGACTCATCAAAGGGTTTTCTGGCAGAATNCAAGAATCAAAAAGAACGTCTAAAGGAGAGGTTGACCGTTATTACAAGGACTCTGCAAAAGCCAGTGTTGTAAATTGTACACTTGAACACATCAGGGAATTCAAGAAGACTCATCAAAGGATTTCTTGGCAGATTTTTTTTTTTTTTAATGCCAAATTGTATTTCAGTTTAGATGCATGTACCCTTGCACAAAGAAAACAATAAAAAACGGTACAACCGTTTTTTTCCGACAACGAACTAGAACAGGTAGACCTAAAAGAAGTTAAGACGAAATTCGATAGAAAATCGCGCAATTTCAGGTTTTAGTGGACAAAAATCTGGTACTAGAATAATTTTACGAATTTTACAGTCATTTTTACATTTTCTTAAAGCTAAATACATAAATAGTTGCCTGAAATAACAACGAAAACAATTTCCCATTGGAACGAGTGAAAACAAATTTCAAAGATCAGAGAACTTGTGCAAACACAGGCAAAATTTCATCATCAGTTTCATTTCACCAGTACTTTTAAGTGTTT